TAAGATCGATTGACAAAAAGAACATGCAAAATTAAATGGAATTTAACGCGAGTCATTCACAATTTATTGTACTCGAACGTAGCTAGGATTTCTTATCGAATTATTCATTTGTCGGGTTACATTGTTCTAATACAATTTTAATATTTAACTGTTCAAATACTCCACTACAGCGGGACTTCGATTAATTGATTATTTGCCCGGTAGGGTATGTTTGCAGAGTTGCTTGTACATAAAAAATTTATGCACTATTTATAAAGTAGTGAATTACTTGAAAATTTTTTTAATTGATAATTACTTGTCTATAAAAAAATGTCTAAACGATATATGCACTCGTTACAATTATGCTTTGCTTGCAAACATAAATGTTCAGTTTAATAATAAGAAAGAGCCAATAAATCAGAATACACGAAGTTTAATAAAACAACGTATATCCGTTTAGTTTGTTTAAAATGTCTTCGGTATTTCTTATTTTAAACTTTTCTTATAAGTGTGTCGCAGAGAACATACTTTTTCGTTTAATTTGCTCTTTTTTTTTTTACATGAACGCATCAAAAAAAATCTCAAAGTCACTGATTTCATTTTCATAAATGTTTATACGTATATCGGTTACAACATTATTGTTAGTTTCCCACCGAACTCCCCGTTTTTTATTGCACAATGCTCGAATGGAAAAAAATTTACTATTATCTGCAACCTTGATTGATGTTGACTAAGTATGGTCATTGAATACATCAAAATGTGAACTACACTTATGCATACTGAAGAATTATACGATTCCTTTTTTCTTTTAATTTTCGTGACATTTAAATATCTTTAACCCATTTCATAAAACATTCTCTTATATCACTGATACTAGAAAAAATATTCAACTGTGACGGTTCGCATTTTTATCCTGCAAATATTGTTCAAATATACAAATATCTTTTTATTTAAATAATAATATCCTAGTAGCAGTATCGAAAGAATGGTAATGGAATAATAATTTTATTCGTAGTGTTCGAATATTCGTAAAATGTACAAATATTATACTATTATTCAAATAGTTCGAGCATTATGAATGGTAAATATATTTTGTATCGCACGGGTACGACGATGACACGTTGCATTGAAATTCGATTGTTAACTGTTGTAAGTCAATCGACTCGTAAAAATGATGCAATACGATTACATATCTCTTGAGCCTCGAAAGATAACATTTATTTTGTTACGATTCCTCGCGAATAATGAATGCATGCAGCGTCGAACGATGAGTCATTTATCAAAATATCAACCGGGAACAAATGTGGACCTAATTATCGACGCGGGAGAATTTCGACGTAACAACGAACCCGACGATGAATATTCGACGATCGCGTTCGGTTACCAACATTACGGCAGAATAAAGCCGATGCACGTGTGCATCGTTGTAATCTTATCGAGGATTGTGTGAATCAACTTTGAACTTTCGTTCACTTTTAGAACAGAAATATAGTAAGTACATATATCTTTACTCTATATACATAGACGCGCGACATACAGGGTGTTCAGCCACCTCTGGAAAAATATTAATGCCAGATTCCAGAGACCAAAATAAAACGAAAATCAATAATATCAATTTCTTCACTGCGGTTTCATTAAAAAGTTATTAAAAAATTTCAAATCGTTCCGAAAAAATTATTTTCGGTTGCTCGGGGCAATTATAATCATTTTCGGTGAATAGACCTATCCCCAAAATAATAACCATTTTCGAGAAAAAAATTCGAGAAGGTATGAAATTTTTCGACAAAATTAAAAAATTTCAAATCGTTCTGGAAAAATTATTTTCGGTTGCGGGGGTCAATTACAATAATTTTTGGTGATTAGACATACCCTCGAAATCCTACCCAGTTTCGAGAAAAAAATTCGAGAAGGTATGAAATTTTTCGATACAATTAAAAAAATTCAAATCATTTTGAAAAAATTATTTTTAGTTGCTGGGATCAATTACAATAATTATTGGTGATTAGACATACCCCCGAAATCCTCCGCAATTTCGAGAAAAAAATTCTTGATTGAAAATCTAATGTGAGGCCAGAAATGCACCCCCGAAATTTCATGCGAATCTTTAAAACGTCATAACTTCTGAACGGATTGGCCGATTATAATGTTTCAAACGGCAAACAACGCGTATTTTAGTGAATAATATGTAGATATTCTAAAAATATTCGAAAACTTATTCCTTAACCTCGTAAAACGAGAGAAACCTCATAAAACTGGCCCAATATTCAAACGACTACAACTTCTACAATAGTGAATGTATTCGATTGAAATTTAGTATGGAAGTAGAGCTCATAGATACCTACAAAAAAGTACTAAACAAAATTTCCGTAGGTCGTCAAACAAATTTATTAAAAATGGAAAACGAAATGTTAAGAAAAATCGACTCTTAATTTTTCAGGGAAAATGAAAAGTTTCAAATCATTCTGGAAAAATTATTTTCGGTTGCGGGGGTCAATTACAATAATTATTGGTGATTAGACATACCCTCGAAATCCTACCCAGTTTCGAGAAAAAAATTCGAGAAGGTATGAAATTTTTCGATACAATTAAAAAAATTCAAATCATTTTGAAAAAATTATTTTTAGTTGCTGGGATCAATTACAATAATTATTGGTGATTAGACATACCCCCGAAATCCTCCGCAATTTCGAGAAAAAAATTCTTGATTGAAAATCTAATGTGAGGCCAGAAATGCACCCCCGAAATTTCATGCGAATCTTTAAAACGTCATAACTTCTGAACGGATTGGCCGATTATAATGTTTCAAACGGCAAACAACGCGTATTTTAGTGAAGAATATGTAGATATTCTAAAAATATTCGAAAACTTATTCCTTAACCCCGTAAAACGAGAGAAACCTCATAAAACTGGCCCAATATTCAAACGACTACAACTTCTACAATAGTGAATGTATTCGATTGAAATTTAGTATGGAAGTAGAGCTCATAGATACCTACAAAAAAGTACTAAACAAAATTTCCGTAGGTCGTCAAACAAATTTATTAAAAATGGAAAACGAAATGTTAAGAAAAATCGACTCTTAATTTTTCAGGGAAAATGAAAAGTTTCAAATCATTCTGGAAAAATTATTTTCGGTTGCGGGGGTCAATTACAATAATTTTTGGTGATTAGACATACCCTCGAAATCCTACCCAGTTTCGAGAAAAAAATTCGAGAAAGTATGAAATTTTTCAACAAAATTAAATATTTCAAATCGTTCTGGAAAAATTATTTTCGGTTGCGGGGGTCAATTACAATAATTATTGGTGATTAGACATACCCCCGAAATCCTCCACAATTTCGAGAAAAAAATTCTTGATTGAAAATCTAATGTGAGGCCAGAAATGCACCCCCGAAATTTCATGCGAATATTTAAAACGTCATAACTTCTGAACGGATTGGCCGATTATAATGTTTCAAACGGCAAACAACGCGTATTTTAGTGAATAATATGTAGATATTCTAAAAATATTCGAAAACTTATTCCTTAACCCCGTAAAACGAGAGAAACCTCATAAAACTGGCCCAATATTCAAACGACTACAACTTCTACAATAGTGAATGTATTCGATTGAAATTTAGTATGGAAGTAGAGCTCATAGATACCTACAAAAAAGTACTAAACAAAATTTCCGTAGGTTGTCAAACAAATTTATTAAAAATGGAAAACGAAATGTTAAGAAAAATCGACTCTTAATTTTTCAGGGAAAATGAAAAGTTTCAAATCATTCTGGAAAAATTATTTTCGGTTGCGGGGGTCAATTACAATAATTTTTGGTGATTAGACATACCCTCGAAATCCTACCCAGTTTCGAGAAAAAAATTCGAGAAAGTATGAAATTTTTCAACAAAATTAAATATTTCAAATCGTTCTGGAAAAATTATTTTTAGTTGCTGAGGTCAATTACAATCATTTTCGGTGAATAGACCTACTCCCGAAATTCTACCCACTTTGTAGAAAAAAATCCAATATGACTTTAAACGTTAATAACTTTTCAACGAAGTGTCAATCAATAAATTAGTATTCTTGATTTTCGTCCTATTTTGGTCTCTAGAATCTCCCATTGAAATTGTTCCCTGGGGTGGCCGAACACCCTGTATACGTATAAAGTAACACGTGTGAAAGGCAGCATGGAACGGTAGATTAAAATCATCGAAGACGTATTAAAAATTATTACTGACGCATCGCTGATATAATGCATGCAGTAAACGATGCAGATATCGTCAGCGTGATCGTTGTAAGCGCGACTAGTATCGTAACGCTCCTCTCAACGCTTATGATATTCGAAGTAGCCAATTAACGACTAATTCCTACAACTCTGTTCAAGATATAAATGCATATCTGAACTGTGAAATTCCGGCTAATGACTAACGCGAATGAACTTCATTTAACTTGAACGATATCGAACAGTTAAATCATTGAAAAAGGAAATAAAAGATTCCTAAGCTCGTTAGTTTTCGTACGAAACGATTAGATATTTCGAAATTGCCTAAGTGAAACCGTCAAGACGCGCCAGTGTTCCATACACATCGGAAAAGTACTGCCATAAGATCATTCGTGAACGTAATCTTCGGTCCATTGTAGTAAGCAAACTATACCGAGGCAAAACGGTAGTTTCGTCAATAAAAAAAATTTGTATCAAACAGTTTTGTAAATATAAATGATAAGCAATCTTTAAAAGAATGCACAAGAATTGAAGTCAGTGCATTTTTTCAGTCGTGAATGATAAGAAATGTGATAAAAAAACGTTTCAGAAAATAAATTATCGACCGTTGACCAGACAATTTTACTTTAATTACGATTCTCGATATGGTTTTCGCAGAAAAGATGCACTGTACAAAATGTGGTATATTACAGTGTAATTCTAGATCAAACTGCATTTAACTAAAAATAAAAATCATAATAAAGTGCACGTAATCTAGAAAGGGATATATTTTAACGGACACACGCGATAGAAGCAAACAAAATGCATAACACTTACTAGGGCTTGGCACCATTAAGGATTACAGGGGATTGATAATCCTTGACCGCTGGTCACATTTACGGCTCTTTTGTGCGCACTGAACCATGTTGTTTTAATTATTATCCAAAGTCACCGACAGAGTTACTTTCCATTCAGGTAGTTTCGCCGCAGCATGATCAATCGTATCGCGCGATATTACGTACGAGCACTAATCGTCTGGATTCTGTAAACGTATTCAACAATGCACCGACACTTTAAGAAAACCAACCGTACATCGAACGAAACAACATCGGCATATACACACACACGCATGACCGACGAAATTCACCCGTGAATCATTTGGGCGCGTAACGGAACGAGAAAGGTTATGGAAGGAGTCTAGGATACCAGGCGAGCCTCGAACAATAAGAATAAGAATAAGAAAAAGAAAAAGAAAAGAAAAATGTGTTATGGAAAGTGTAAATGACACGACGAAAGGATAAATATCGGCAAGGAAAGAGTAGCTGTGACGGGTAACGAGCAAACGCGAAGCGAGATCGCGACGATGGTTTTTACATGGCGTAAGTACACAGGCGCCGCACTGTTCTTACTAAAAATCGCACTGAATTTGCAAAATTCACGTATCGCGTCTACTAGCTCCATCTTGACTCGTGAGTTAAGCCGGACGCGCACGTTTTTTTCTGTTGGTCGTCCTCCTGATCGTCGTTGTCGTCGTTTCTGGTCAGCGTCTTCTGATCGTCTCTCACTCACGATATACACTATCGCGCGCACGCCGCTTTTACTCACTAACACAATAAATCCATTGTGAGAGAGAGAATTCCTGGCAGCACATTCCGCGTGTACGTAAGTACGGATACGAGGGTGTACGACGGAATCAGGCGCGCTGTGGCTCTCTCGGATCGAGTCGCTTGCTCGTTCGCGGATGTCGTCACGAGGCGAGGGAAGAGACAGAAGAAGAGAAAGACGCGCGAGGAGAGAGGCGGGCGAAAGAGAGCCGATACGGAGGGGATACTGGTGGGGCAGAGTTAATGTAACAGACAGAGACAGAGACAGAGAAAGAGAGAGAAAGAGTAACTACGGGAAAGAAGAGAAGAAAGAGGGACGGGGAAAGGGTGAGAGGTGAGGGGTTTAAGAGAAAGAGAGAGGATTAGGAGTGACTGGGCGCAGGAGAGGGAGGAGAGACAAGTACGAGTCGTGTATGGTCGTCGTATAAATAGACGAGAGACGATATAGGCATCGTATAGTATAGTAAGACTCCTAGGGCAGGTAGTGGATGCTCGTGACAGCGATGAAACTACCTCACTTACTTCTACCATGAGCATGGAGAGTCACTGACACATAATGCAAGAGCTTCGCGCACGTGCATACACGTACATTGGCACGCACACGTAACTACGTTCTACAAGGAAGCACACGAGCGAGCAAACGAATAGCACGCACACAAAAGAACATTCTCGCGTAGCGACTTGACACGCGCACGCGTAGCTACGCAAGCACACACATATACATATATATATATATATATATGTATAACACTGGGGCTGTGAATGCCGTCGTAGCTGTAGTTGTGTCGTCGTCGTCGTCGTGGTCTCGTAGACCGCCACTCCACCGTGTCACCTATACCGTGAGTATTGATGATGAACGTAAGAATCGACACAAATTCCCGGGGACTATCGGCACCGCGCCACAACGATCCGGGCTTGTGCTGCCCTTGCCACTGCTGTAATTTTCGTAGACTCGTTCGAGCGAATGCGCGTACACACTCGCGTCATGAAAATCCGTCACAGTAGACCGACCGACCGATCGGGAAGAGATGGCGACTACAATACCACGACACGGTCATGACGTCGCCGTGGGTGCACACTCGAGGATATTCTTATTTACCATGGTTCATAGAAACGCGCACCGCTGTACCACCGAATTATTGACATCTTTCTTGTTGGCTATACGTGTCTCGCGCGGTCGGTTCTCTCTTTCTTTTTCACTCGTGCCGCGATACCTCTCTCTTTTACATTCAGCCTAGCTCTTTCTCGTCATATGCACGCGTATGGACTCAGTTGTTCAACTGAACTGCCTGTGACTTGTCGAGCCATATAACCGAGCAGGCAACACGCACACACGCTACCACTATACTACTCCGTTCCTACTATTACCACCACCACTAGCTCCACCACCGCCGTCGCCGTTACCGCTGCTACTACTACCTTCTTCTCCTCGTCCTTCTCCACCACCGCCTTTGCTTCATATCTTCTCGTCGAGTACGTACAGACGCACACACGCGCATGTCAACGTACACACCGCTGACCGATTCGAGCGAGCTGAGACGGCGCGCGCGCACTCACTGACAGCCGCTGTTTCACTTGCGCCAAAGCATGCTCCCTCACTGACGCTCACTGCATAACTAACACCAACCAGTCTACCATACAAAATGATCTCCCTCACAGAGAAGCACGCGGCCAACTCGTACGTGTAGAAGCCTCTAACCCGGAGCACACCTACGCACACCAGCGACCGTTACACCGCCGACGGACTGTAGCCTCAGGACCGTCGTCACGCTCTCCGCGGACCCGTGGGCTTGCGTTCCTACCGCCTCCGATTCCTCGCTCTCTTATTTTCATCATCGGGGAGTTATTATCATTTCTTATTTAAACCAAATCTACCAATAGAGGCGACATATTTCGTCTATCAACAGATATATATTTAAGAGAATTTTATAAACAGATTCTATACCAATTCTTACTATAGCAAATATACTATGATTTTATTCAACAATTATTATTTAATTTCTTGCTAAATATTCTATAAAGAACGCAATTTTCCGCTTGCGAATGAGGATACCCCCTTAACGCAACGTCGATAAGGTCCCGTTTCGCTTTCTGCAATTACCTTCAATTCGTTCCACTTCTAGAAAGGAAGTTTCACGTATTCTTCGAAATACACGCTATTACAGTGTTTATAACAAATATTTCGTTGTATAAATTGTTGCGAATATATGCCTTCTCGCTATATGTATTTCGCGATTTCAAATTTTTATGTTGAAAAATTCCAAATGAACGTTAATAAAATTGTGAACAATTTTTCAATTAACTCCAAGACTTTTTGCAATGTGTATATTTAAAAATACTATTATAAATAAAGATTAACTCTCTTTTGGTACAGAAAGCAATTAAATGTATTTTCTGAACTTTTTCAATAAAAGGGCAACTGAATCTATTCTTGGTGTTCTTGGTGTGGTAATTTTGATGCACCCTTTAAAGAACAAGCAGTGCATACTAATTCATCGGTAATAAATGATGATCGATAGTTTCATGAAGTTTGAAGTACACGTGACTTGTACTGTGTATGGAGTAAAAAGAGTATTTTCTACAAACAATTCAATGTATTGCAATTATTTTCTACATAAGATTGTATTTTTGTAACAATATAATTATAAGTTACACGGAGATTCATTAAATTATTAAACGTTCTTAATTAAATGTATTATAAAATAAACCGCTCGACAATATTTTTTGTTTAATAAAGAAATAACTTTGGCCTGAAGCACGGATCAATGTTATCTATTTAGACTACGGCTATTAAAGTGATCGCAAACTCCTCTCTCGGCTGCATTTGCAAACTATTCATAAACTACAAATATTTGTTCAAGATACTCAAACTGCTCGTCAGAGATGATCATCTGGTTGCCTAGACGTAGCAACTTCTAAGTAAACATCATTATTCATCGTTTAAAGCCTTTAAAAAAAAAAAAAATACTCAAAAAAATTACCTTCGAAGTTTCGTTTTGGTAAAGTGCAATAAGGGTTCTATTTTTTAAGATTTTTTTTAAACAGCTTTTTTTAATGCTTGCGCGCGTTCACTTTGGAACATATCTGAACGAAGCACTTGTTTTTTTCTCGAGTGTCACGACCATACGTTAAAATCTACGCATGCATCGTAGACATAGTAGACATCTGGCGTAACAGTAGCCTCTCGTATCCCGTGCGTAAGCAGTTGTAGAAGGCTCGTGCATCGCATACGTGCGCACACATTTACTGCTTACAGAAGTAGCACCATGCAGGGACGAATATATTATAGGCGCATATTATATTATTCATTATTTCCAGCGAATCTATAGACAGACTTAAAAGATTTAATTACTGTCCGCCGCTGGACGAGATTCCAAATGATCACAATTTCTTGCACGTTATCCGACATACTCGTGAGGGGGAAAAAATGTCACGGTATTGATCTTTACCTGAATAACTGTCGCGAATAAAATGTTATACCGAGTCACTATTTATGTATTATTCAAATAAAATTCTGCCCATGTTCGGGTACAGTCGATGCTTTTAGGTAAACTTGAGCCGAATAAGTGGTCCCTGGCTACAGTTCTGCGCACAATCCATACCCAAGCGTGCGTGCACGACGTAAGAAACGAAACGAAAAGAAAGAAAGGGAGACTCGGTGTACTCGTATTGCCGTGCGTGTATCTCATTGGCGTAGAAACATTCCATCCGTGTATTTGTTCCCGAGCGTCAAATCTACTTTCCCCGAACCACGTTCGATCATTGATAATTTCACTGATTTCTGCTTCGATGTGCAGAGTTTACTCTTACCAGCCAATAAGAAAAATACGATAAACATTGCGCGGAGACGCAGGTTTTTATGCATTCCTTCGTTGGCTGACTTCATCGTTTCTAGAAACAACGTCGAGTCGTTAGAAATTTTTAATCTTCTTATCGAAAAAATTGAACATTTGAAATCTGATGGGAATCGAAGAGATAAAACAAAGTATGCAGTAGAATGGGATTCGATGCGAGACATTGCACAAGACGCGCGATTCTATAAGTGAAAAACATGAGTTAGGTTATGTTCGTTACCATTTATTTAATTCTATTAATTTGTACGAAACAAAATTACCTAACGCACAAATCACTTTAAGTAGATTTTCTTTTTATTTAAAAGTCTATTGATCGAAGGTCATTTAAATCGGTTATATGAATTCCACTTTTGATCCTCTGTCAGAGGTAGAATACGTCCGGCAGACATCATCAATGAGACACTGCGGAGTACCTTGTAGTGACTCGATTCCCCTTCTGCATTTCCCTTCATAGAGTTTCGTGCGCTGTCGATGAATGGCGTAACCTCGTTATGGGACTTCGCGTGGATAACTCTGTATTCTCGCCAACTATGCACGAATCGTGAAAAATTCTTACGAGCATGACGTACGTACGCGGGAGAAACTGGCAAATGTAAGTTGTTTCAGAGAAATTCTACGTTCGATTTCTAATAGCATAATTATGCAAGAGAACAAATGTTTTATTATTTCTATTAAAAATACAGTGGCTGTCGCTTAAAATCGTCCACCTAGTGGTTCAGCCGATATTTTTGTCAATAAAACATGAAAATTGTACGAAATTTTTGAAACTCTTATAGAGGTATACAGAGTGTTTGGCCACCCCTGGGAAAAAATTTATTGGGAGATTCTAAAGGCGTAAATAAGGCGAAAATAAAAAATATCAATTTCTTGACCGAGACTTCGTTAAAATTACATCAATTACAATCATTTTTTATCATTACACATACCCCCGAAATCCTACACATTTTCGAGAAAAAATTTCTTACCGAAAATCTAATTTTTCTTCCAGACCTAACCCAGACCTGACCCAAACCTAACCCAGATCTAACCCAGAACTGTCCCAAACCTAATCCGGACCTAACCTAGACCTGACCCAAACCTTTCTTTTTTGGGTCAGGTCTGGGTTAGGTCTGGATTAGGTCTGGGTTAGGTTTGGGTTAGGTTTGGGTCAGGTCTGGGTTAGGTCTGGATTAGTTTTGGGCCTCATCCAGACCTAACCCAAACCTAATCCAGACCTAACCCAGACCTGACCCAGACCTGACCCAAACCCAACCCAGACCTAACCCAGACCTGACCCAAAACTAATCCAGACCTGACCCAGACCTGACCCAAAACTAATCCAGACCTAACCCAGACCTGACCCAGACCTGACCCAAACCTAATCCGGACCTAACCTAGACCTGACCCAAACCTTTCTTTTTTGGGTCAGGTCTGGGTTAGGTCTGGATTAGGTCTGGGTTAGGTTTGGGTTAGGTTTGGGTCAGGTCTGGGTTAGGTCTGGATTAGTTTTGGGCCTCATCCAGACCTAACCCAAACCTAATCCAGACCTAACCCAGACCTGACCCAGACCTGACCCAAACCCAACCCAGACCTAACCCAGACCTGACCCAAAACTAATCCAGACCTGACCCAGACCTGACCCAAAACTAATCCAGACCTAACCCAGACCTGACCCAGACCTGACCCAAACCTAATCCGGACCTAACCCAGACCTGACCCAAACCTTTTTTTTTGGGTCAGGTCTGGATTAGATCTGGTTTAGGTTTGGGTCATGTCTGGGTTAGGTCTGGATTAGATTTGGGTCAGGTCTGGGTTAGGTCTGGATTAGGTTTGGGTCAGGTCTGGGTTAGGTCTGGATTAGATTTGGGTCAGGTCTGGGTTAGGTCTGGATTAGGTTTGGGTCAGGTCTGGGTTAGGTCTGGATTAGGCCCAAAACTAATCCAGACCTAACCCAGACCTGACCCAAACCAAACTCAGACCTGACCCAAACCTAACCCAGACCTGACCCAGACCTAACCCAGACCTGACCCAAACCTAACCCAGACCTGACCCAAATCTAACCCAGACCTAACCCAGACCAAGGTGCCTAAATTTTTCGACGAAAAAAAAAAATTTCAAATCATTCTGAAAAAATTATTTTCGGTCGCGAGTGTAAATTACAATCATTTTTGGTCAATACACACGCCCCCGAATTCCTACGCACTTTCGAGAAAAAAATTCCTTACCGAATGGTTCTACTACATACTGATTTTATATTTGTTTTTGTCCCTTGGCAATTAACCAACATTTTCCGTAAATACAGGTAGCCCTCCTACAACACGGTTTCATTCTAACGCGATAAGAAAATTGAATAAGAATATTTTTGCTGTTGCATTTAATTACCAAATCGTTGAATGAATTCGAAAACTCGCATGATAATGATCTGTGCCGATTATCTAATCGTTGTAGGTTACACGATAGGAGACGTATCTCAGTGATAGTAATTTATGGCCGATATAGATTGTCAAAATGGAGAGTTTCGCTGGGTACAGTCGGTCAAGTAATGATAATCCTTTCGAACGGGTAATCGTCATCGAGCATCTACGTTCATTGAATACTGACCACGCGTGTATGACGCGCATTCATTTATCGACAGCCAAAGAAGTAACAAATCAACACCGAAGAGCGCGCGTCGATCAAGCTAACCGACGTTAACGGTGCTTGTGCAGACACGTTCCAGTCGTGGCTCGACCGGACAGGTCGATATGAAATCACAAGTCGAACGTCCAAAGTAATTTTCAACGGAATCGTCGTTGGCTGCGCGTTTTGCGAAGCACGACGGTGGTATCGATCACCGACTGTGTCTGTTCGGGTTGAAAATAAATCGGCGTCTCGTATTTAAAGTAACGTTGGCCGAAGTGACACAATCAAGGCTCGATCGTTCTGATAACCGAGCGATTACAGAATCGTTCGTACGACGCGTTCCGAGTTCGAATTACATAATAAATCTCTCGCTCGTTGTACAGACGTCCCACGGTAGCGACGCGTCGTAACGCCTGCCTTTTTTCCTTCTTCATTGGCTGTAAT